CTGTGATCAAAGCTTAATTGAAAAAGGGCCGGGACCACCGGCCGCCACCCGACGCCCGCCCCCGTCCAATGGAAACTGATACCGAATACGATCGACAATGCAGCCTTTTACCTCTCTTTCGCCGCGTACGTACCAGTATTCGCGAGGTAGTCGGTTAAATCGACGGATTAAACGCCATAGACAAAGAGAGGGAACGAAACTAGGAAATGGAGAACGGTTGCGCAACCGATCGACCACATCCAAGGTAAATTCTTCACTCCGACGTCGTCCCAGATCGAACGTCCGTTTTCATTTTTCGCGTGGATCGTCAGATACTCGTTGCACTCTTGTTTCCATTCGCAACTCGTTTCGATTCTTTCCGTCGAAACGCGCCACTATTTGCACCACCACCGCTTCTGTTTCTTTCCTCCCGTCGAAACGAACTTTAAATCGTTCTCCCCTTCCTCTGTTACGCGCGTTTAATAGGCTTCATAGGAGGATACAACACCTGGCAATCCATCGACGCGCGAAACGTGAAAGGAGAAAAGGGCACAAAGGAGGGCGCGGTGATTCTCGTTCGGGGATTCAGCTCAGGGCCCTCGAAAGAGACGTCGGCTCAGCACACGCTCGGTCGAGCACTCCGCTAATTGGCTAGCGACTCGAGCCGGGACCGATTAATTACCAGCGCGAAAAGATCCCTCGATTTTTCTCGCCGTGCGCGGCGTTTACCCGCTAATTAGTACCGTGGAGCGCGAGGGCCGCTAATTATCTTATACGCCTGTCGCGATCACGACTCCACAACGGACAACAACAACGACAACGACAGCTCTTTCGGCTTTGGGATCGAGCCGCCAATCGACCGACACCTGCCATTCGATCGCGTTCCACTCGACCACCCTCCGATACCCATACATCCGAAACGAGAAGAGAGCTCGAAACAAGCTTCGCGTCATTCCCCACTTCCCTATAAACGATAGAACAAAGTTAAAAAACGCGAAAGAGCAGAGAAAGAAACGGTTTACTGCCATCCTTAACTTCGTCGTAGAAAACTTGTACGACATCGTAAACGAAAAGTGCAAAGATACTCGAGAGAGAGAGAGAGAGAGAGAGACCACTTTGGCTTCCCTTTCCTTTCGCATCGATTCGAAACGAATGCCTCCATAACGTGGATCGTTTCATAAAAATACGTAACTTCTCACTAAGCCCCTCCTTCCACCTCGTGGAGAGAACGGCGTGCCTGTTCATCCGCAACGATCGAATACTCTCCAGACGCGAATTATTCGCGTCGAATCGCGGATAACGTCTCGCCAACGGGTGAATAAATGATAGGGTCGCGAAAAATGGTGCTCGATGGAGAGGTGTCGTCGATTCGGAGTCGGTTATTAGGCTGGTCGCGTGCGCGCTCCCTTCTTCTGCTTTTCGCGCGTCGTTATCGTAACTTCGTTAACGTTCGTAACTGCGTTAACGAAACCCGTTTAATTATGCGCGGCGATTTTTAATTAAAAAACCTCGCGTCACCGATCGACCCACGTGAAAGCGGGAAGTACGGTAGAATAATAAGAGAAGGAGAGAGCGCACACGGTTAATAACGGGAGAACCGGGGCGACAATTAATTACCCTTACCGAGGGTGTCTTACGATCGTCATTTCACGAGTCGATTAAACCGCGAATAAAACCGAATTAAACCGCGCGGCCACTTTCCCCGATAACGGTCCAACCGAACGACCGTCGCGTCGAGTGTCTTCTATCGACCGATTATATCATACCACCACCTTTTCTTCCCTCTTACAAATCCCACCGAACGATTTCGATTCGAATCGACCAAGTTCGGTTAAAAATCCTTTCACCAATAATCGAGTTCCAAGTTTATGGTCATTTTACGATCGATCCCCGAATCGATCGACGATCGTCAACCACCACTCAACCACCACTTCTTCTTCTTCTCCTTCTTCTCCTTCTTCTCGAAAACACGGATCGTCCACGAGTCGAGGCGATGATCGTGGCGAAGATTCGCGTCACCGAGTGAAGCGACGAGCGAGATGCGTGGTCACGCACAAGGTCGAGCGGAAACTTCCATCGCGAGCCACGGAAGTGTCGTCGAGAGTGCGGGAGAAGAAAGCGGTTTACGTGGGAAGCAAAANGGGAGGGGACGATCGCGTGTCCGTCGGTGCGATGATCGATCGAACGACAACGAGGCCGTGCTGCTCCGGTCGCGGTTCACGGGCCACTGAGAGGGAACGTTGTGTTCGAGTTGTGCTCGAGCCACCGACGGAGAGAGACGTATACACAGGAGGAGCGATAGAGAGGGAAAGAGCGTGGCGTACGTCACATGCGCGTTGTAACCCCAAACAAAAATGCCCGCTATCCTCGTCCCGCTCGCGTGTCTCTCTCTCTCTCCCTCTCTGTCTCTTTCTCTTCGTGTTCCTCCACCGTGAACAACAATAACAACAGCACGCGCGCC